ATCGGTTCCAGGTGTGCGAGGTGAACCTGGGGCTCAGGGAGCCGTGCCGCGTCATCTCGGCCTACTTCATCACGAAGATAGGCAGGGCGAAGGAGAACATCGGGCTCCTGGCGGCGCTGCACGAGTACGTGGGGCAGCTGGAGTCGCCGTGGGTCGTGATGGGTGACTGGAACATGGAGCCCGTGGACGTCCGTGAGTGGGCGCGCAGCGCAGGCGGTGCGCTCGTGGGCCCAGAGGAGCCGACCTGCGGCTCGAAGGTCTTCGGCTTCGCGGTCGTCAGCAGGGCCCTCACGGGCTTTGTGGACGTGGCTGAGGTGCTGCCGAGGGCGCCGACGAAGGACCACGTGCCGTTCAAGGTGGTGCTCCGCGGCGCAGGGCCAGCGGCGAAGGTGCAGCGGCCGCTCTTCCCTGCCGCCTTCCCGCTGCCGCTGCCGCCGCCAGTGCGGTCGGCGCCGCTCGAGCGTGCCTTCTCGGCCTGGAGCCCTGGAGGTGGGCAGGCGCTCAAGGAGGGCTGCCAGGAGTGGTTCGAGGCGGTGGAGGCCTACCTGATCGACCTCCACGAGATCGCGCCGCCCAGCCGCTGGAAAGGGCGCGCGGGCGGGCTACGCACGCAGAGGGTCGAGATGGAGGCGGCCTGGAAGCAGGGCCGCAAGAGGAGCGTCGGCGCTGCCTGCAGGCGCTGGATGTCGTTCGCGGCGGCATGCGCCCGCTGGCGCGCGCTGCAGGAGGCGGCGCCAGGAGGTCGCTGCTGGGCGCCGCTGCGCAAGCAGCGCGAGGTGCTGGTGGCGTTCGAGCTCGAGTGGCCAGAGGAAGGCCCGCTGGCTGGGCTGTCGGTGGCCCGCGCGGTGGGCTTGCTCAGCTCCTCATCGTGCCAGCTGACGGTGCAGCTGGTCCAGGAGGAGGCGAGGCGGCGCTGGAGGCTGGACAAGCAGCGGAAGGCCGCGGAGTGGCGCGCCTGGGCCCAGGCCGCGGCCACCGAGAAGGGCGGCTCGGCGGCCTACCGCTTCATCAAGCAGGTCGCGGTGGTGCCCGCGGAGGTGCTCGCGGGCGTGGACGGTGACGACGACCTGCGCATGCCCGTTGCGGGCGAGGCCGCAGTGGCTGCGTTGCTGGAGGCGCGGCGGCCGCTCTGGGTCAAGCCGTCGCGTGCTGGCGAGGCGGCGCCTGAGGACTGGGGCATCCAGGAGTCGGTGCTGCCGCCGCTGGAGCCCGAGGACCACGAGCGGGCCCTGGGCACCTACCGCGAGGGGTGCGGCCTTGGGTGGGATAGGCTCCACCCGAAGCAGCTGCGGCGCCTCCCGCGGACCTACGGGCAGCGCTTCCTGGATCTCCTCATGGCCCGGGAGCGGAAGCCTTCGCGGGAGGCGCTGTGGCAGCTGATCGTGGTGTTCATCCCCAAGGCCACTGGCGGCCAGCGGCCGATCGGCCTCACGGCCATCTGGCTGAGGGTCTGGAGCAGGATGCGGCAGCCGCTGATGGCCCGCTGGGAGGCCTCGCTGAAGAACCCTGCCCTCTGGGGCACGTCGGGGAGCCCGTGCGAGCGCGTGGGGGTGGTGCACAACCTCCTGGCGGCCTTTGCTCGCAGCAGAGGCCTCTCGGCGGCCACGGGTGTCACCGACCTGGCGAAGTTCTACGAGCACGTCAGCCATGAGGAGCTGCGCGTGCAGGCGGCCGCCACGGAGTTCCCGCTCGCGCTGTTGCAGTGCTACTGCGTGTCGTACCGCGCGCAGCGCCGCGTGTCCTGGTGCGCCTCGGTCTCCAAGCCGTTCGAGGCGAACGGCACCATTGTGGCGGGCTGCAGCGGTGCTGTCGGGCTGGCCAAGCTGCTGGCGCACACCCTCTTCGCGAAGATTACGCGTGGGAGCCCTGTGGTGCGCCTGCAGAACGTCGTCGACGACGTGCTGCTGCGGGCGGTCGGCGGCAGGGCGCAGGTGGTGCAGCAGCTCCCCAGGGCCATGGCGGCCCTCGCGGAGGGCCTGGTCGCCAAGGGGCTGGTCATCTCGGAGGCGAAGACGGGCTACCTGGCGAACAGCGAGGACCTCGGTGACGAGCTGGACGGCTGCTGGGCGCATGGGCCGCTGGCCCGCTGGACTGGCGCCCGCTGCCTCGGTGGCGACGCCGCCGATGGGCGCTGGAGGCGCGCGCGCGAGCAGGGCGCTCGGCTCGGCCGCGCGGCGGAGGTCAGCGCGCGGGCGCGCCTGCTGCGCAGTGCAGGTGCGCAGGTGGGCCACATCCAGAGAGGCAGCCCCACGGCCGCCGCCGTCTGGGGCTCCGCGGTGACGGGCCCCGCCTGTGGGAAGCTGCATGGCCTGCGGATCGCCGCCATGCGTGCGGAAGGCAGGCTGCCCATTGGCGCCAGCGTCGGCCTGCGGCTGCGGGCGTTGCGCGGCGCTGCCTACCGCGACCCCATTCGTGGTGCATGCGGTGGAGGTGGCGCGCTCCTGGGGCATGACGCTGGAGACGGGCCTGCCCAGCGCCGCGGTGGTGCAGGAGTGCTGGCTAGGGGCGCAAGGCTTGCTCGACCTTCGCCGCCCCTGGGGGCAGTGCCGCGACCCTGCGCAGGCATGTGCGCTGGCGTTGCGGCGGGTCGGCATCGGGATGGTGGCCTACAATGCCGTCATTGACTGGCAGGCGCGTGTCCTCTCGCTGGAGTTCTACTCGCCTGGCATGCTGGTGCAGGTGGCGCGTGAGTCGGCGATGCTGGCCTCGGACGTGCTTGCGCTGAAGCGGCTGCGCGGGCCTGGCGCCCGGGCATGGCCTGTGCACTGGAAGGGGCTGGAGCGCCTCCTCCACGCGCGCCGCCGCCCCGAGGGGCAGGCCGACGCCGAGGCCGCTGAGGGCGCAGGCCGCCAGGAGCCTGCGCCGCCGCTGCCGCATTGGCAGGCCCGCCACAGGCGAGCGCTCGCAGCGGTCCTCGGCGGCCCCCACTGGCCGCAGGAGCGCCTCTGGAAGGAGGGCAGGGCGCGCGATGGTCTATGCCGCCTCTGCGGAGGCCGTGGCACGCCGTGGCACAGGGCCTTCGAGTGCGAGGCCTGGCAGATGCTGCGGCGGGACGCGTGCTCGCATGAGCTGCTGGAGGGGGCGCGGCTGGTGGCGCAGCGCGGGGGCGCTGCGGCAGAGCTCTTCGCGCGTGCGCTGTGCCCCGACCCTGCCCTGGCCTTCCCCGCGACGGCCGGCGCCGCGCTCGCGGCCCCGCGCTGGTTCGGCGCGCCGCCTGGCTCGAAGTTCGCGGGCAGGGTCTTCGTGGACGGCAGCGCCAGGTTTCCTGCGCTGCGCGGGGCCCGCCGCGCAGGCTGGGCGGTGGTGCAGATCGGCCTCAGCGGGGAGGTCATCGGCGGGATGCACGGCATCGTCCCGCGGGCGTACGGACCCAAGCAGGAGGCCAGGGACGGCGAGGACTACGCGTTCCACATGCTGGCCCAGTTCTGGCTGCCGTCGGCCGACGGCGCGGGCCTCGAGGTCTTCTGCGACTGCGCGGGCACGGTCGGCTTGGCGCTCTCGCAGGGCAAGGCCCTTGCGCCACTACAGGCGCGCCGCCACTTGTGGGCGGAGTGGTGGGCAGGCCCAGGCCCGACGGCCACGGCGCGGAAGGTCAAGGCGCACAAGGTGCTCGCTGCAGCTGCCACCTGGGAGGACGAGCTCCTGATCAGGGGTAACAGGGCAGCTGACCTGTGGGCCAAGCGAGGCGCTGCTCTGTGGCCGATCGACGAGGAGCTGGTCTGGTTCCTCCAGGCGTGCGCCTGGCGCGTGGAGGAGCTCGGGCGCTGGGTTGGCGAGCTGGCCGCCACCGTGGTGGACCGCGAGCAGCTGGACTCGGACGGGGTCGTGGGCACGGCCGACCTCGTCTACGACATCCCGCAGGAGGCGCTGGACGCGGCGGAGCAGGCCGACGCGGAGGTGGCGGCGCTGGCGCTCGAGGCCGACCTCGAGCTCGGCCAGGCGCCTGGCGCCTGGCGCCGCTGCTGGGGCTGCTGCTGGAGAGGAGCTCGGCCAGGCGCCCGCCGCTGCCGCTGGGGCCGCGGCTGACGAGCCGGCGGAGGCGGCTGCGGCCGCTCCCGAGCTGAAGGCCGCGATAGCAGGAGCTGGAGTGGCGCGGGAGGTGCGCGGGCACTGCATCGTCGTCTCGCGCCTCGAGAACGGTGATGGGGCCGTGGCCTGGTGCATGAAGTGCGGTTGCCGCTTCTGGAAGCGGCCCCCTCCCGCTGGGACAGGCTTGCTGGGCAGCTGCAAGGGGCGGCCAGCCCCTGGTGAGAGGGCGGCGGAGGCGCGGCGGCTCCTGATGCGCCTCCAGGAGCCCAAGAGCAAGGCCAGGCTCTCGGCTCCGCAGCCGCCCACGGAGGAGGAGCAGACGCGGCTCGCGGCGGTGCTCCGCGACGACGCAGGCGATGAGGACGGCGCAGGCGTTCCCGCTGGTGCAGGGCGGCCGCCGCGCTGGGGGCTGAGGCCCGTCGCGGCGGACGCCTGGCAGGCGGCCGAGCTCCACGGCTTCGCCTCGCCCGCCGCCGCTGCTCGCTGGGCGCGGGCGCGCGTGGCGGCGGGCAGGGAGTCGCCCTTCGGCGACGGCGGCGCGGCTTGACAGCCGCGCAGACGGCACCTGGTTTAGCCTGCCGGCAGGGCGCCAGGGGGCCGAACATAAAAAGTTGCCGAAAATGGCCTCCTCCTCCTCCTCCCCCTCCTCCTTCTCTTCCTCCCCCTCCTCCTTCTTCCTCCTCCTCCTCTTCCTCCTCCTCGTCTTCTTCCTGTTCCTTTTCCTCTCCCTCCTCCTTCACCCTTCTCCTCCTCCTCCTCCTCCTCCTCCTCGTCCTTCCCCCCCCCCCCTCCTCTTCCCGCTTCCCTCTGCGTTGGCGACGGCCCAGAGGGAACCTTCGCGATCCAGAACGTATCCATTGTTTTCCAAGCATGGTTTGCACTCGTGCCCCGCCTGGCCGCCAGGGGGCCGCTCCGCCGGAGATGGCGCGCGGGCTGAGCTAAGCTGATTCGAATATTGCCCTCCCCCCCAGGTCGAGATCCATACCCAAGGCGAAGACCAAGACCAAGGCCAAGTCCCGGTCTCGCTCGCGTCGGCGCAGGATCATTTGCCGTCGGCCTCACCGCCCTTGCTGGGCCCATTGCGATCTGATCTGTCCGATCCGATTTTGATTTCCACGGGCCCGGTCCGATTCGATCCCGATATTCCGACGATCGCATGCGGCCCGATGCTCACATGGTGTCGTTGTGCGTCCGGTCACGGCCGATCGGATTCCTCTTAAACTCCGTGCCCATGCGTCCCGATTCGGTGTTCGTTCCGATCCGATTCGGTTTCCCGATCCGATGCTCAATGATTACGTTGTCAATGCTGCCGCTGCTGCTGCTGCTGCTGCTGCTGCTGCTGCTGCTGCTGCTGCTGCTGCTGCTGCTGCTGCTGCTGTTGGGCGTTGCCAAGGGCCCTGTTCTGGCTCCCCGTGGCTCGTCCGACGCTGTGCCTCGCCTCGCGCTCGGCATCCCCTCCTTGCTGCCTTCAGGCGCAGCGTCAGGGGGGGATGGGGAGGGGGAGGCGCAGCGACCACCAATCGCCCGTCGCCGATGGGGGATCCCGGCAGCTCTCCCCGCGCAGGACCGCGTGGTTTCGCTGTCGGGGCTCATCGTTAAGTCGGGCCTGTCCCCCCACATGGGGATTTTCGACGAAAAGCAAAACATACCCCAAACATGCCCCAAAAAGGTTAGAAAACATTCCAAAAAAATAGTCCCCAGACTATTTTGGGGGTATTTTTGGGAATATTTGTTTATTTGTCGTCGAAAATCCCCCTGTAGGGGGACAGGCCCGGCTTAAATCCATCGCCGATCTATTGGCAATGTATCGCCGAATTCAGGTAGGCGGTCCTCCCCCTGAGCCGGTCCCCCGTATGCTTGCCCGTGGTTCCTCCTTGCGCTCTCCAGGCGGTTTTCTGCATCCTGCTTAATTTATCAGCGCTGTAGTCCCATCTCTATCAACGAGTGGTGTGGCGTGTCCGGCCTTTTCGTTGATTCGTTTTCTGATGTTAACCGATGTTGTGCCCGGGGCGGCAACGATCGAGCGTGATCGGTGTCAGTGTGGTCGATACAAGCGGTCATGGTGATAATAGGGAGAGTGATCATCAGCAAGAGGGTGAAGACGGTTCAGGATGAAGACGAGGATGGGGATGGGTTCTAATGGAGAGTTGCTAGTGAGGATGCGGCTACGGATGCGGATTACAATCGCTACCAGTTTGAAACAGATCTCTATCACTATGCTTGGCATCGCCTCGCCTCGGTGCCGATCTTAGGGAATTCCTCAGTTTCTGAGGGCAAATCCCTAAGATTGTCACCGCTTTTGGCTTGCCAAACTTAAGGATATGTGCAAGTTCGAGTCTGCTCAGATTGAAGATGAAGAGGAATGGTAGGAGGAGGAGGAGGAGGGGGAGGAGGAGAAAAAGGAGGAGGAGGAAGAGGAGGATGTGGGCGAGGATGAGGGGCGGAGTCATGAGAGGCATGTTGAGGAAGAGGTTCACGATCAAGCGGAGCGGTGTCAGGAGCTTCTACTAGGACGAGTTCGAAGAGGACGATCAGTATGAGGAGAAGCAGGAGGAGGAGGAGGAGGAGGGGCAGGAAGAAGGAGGAGGATGAGGAATACGTGGGAGGCGCTGGAGGACGAGGCAGGAGCGACAGGGTGGCCGGATCCCCCAGGAAAGTGAAGCACAAGCAGCAGTCGTCCTCGGACTCCTCGAGCTGAGCGCGGCCGGGCCGGCTGCCTGGGCGTGGCGGGGCTGACCGCGGCTCGGGGTGTGGGTGCGGGGAGGGCGGGCGATGCTCCGGAGGAGGGCGTGGAGGGCGGGCTCGTCGACTCCCCAGAAAACATGGGAAAATATGGGAAGTGGGGGGGGAAGACAGAAGCCCAGAAAATATAGGAAAACATTGGGGATCTTTTTATTTGTGTGTATTTGTGTTGTGTGTCCCAGGGCCCCTTCAGCCGACCCGAATCGTTTACGATCGCAGGTCCGAGCTATCGATCCGATGGTGGGCTTGGCATCGCTCTGCGAGGACCATCGAGGAGCATCCTTGATCATTTGGCCAAACAACCACGCACGAAACCGAGCAAAAACACAGGGAATGGACGTCCGAGCGATGGCCAGTGGGGCCTCCCGCCAGAGGCCCACCCCGTCGGGGCCCGGCAGGCGAGGCGGGGCGCCCGTGGCGGCTCCCGCGCGCGGAGCCCGCCGCGGCGGGGCGGTGTTCCGCGGCGCCCGTCCCGGGGGCGTTCGGGCGGGGCTCGGGGCGAAGGGCAGGCGTCGAGGATCGAAGGGCCACTCGCGCGGAGCCCGCCGCGGCGGGGCGGTGTTCCGCGGCGCCCGTCCCGGGGGCGTTCGGGCGGGGCTCGGGGCGAGGACAGGCGTCGAGGATCGAAGGGCCACTGTCGCAGGCCTAGAGGTTGACACCAACACCGATATCGGCGGTGTTCCTCCACCGAGGGAAGGAGATCCGGATCTCGGTGATGGTGGTAATATTCTGGCTTCCAAGGTGACCGAAATATTCCCTTTGACGCCGAAATCTAGGATCATTTTCCCCCTGTGGAGGCAATTCTCTGTGTTGGTGTTGGTGCCAATTTCCAGGCCTCCAACACTGGCCCTCATGACACGAGGAAGACGTGGCCTCACCGAGGTCCCCGTCTCTGCAGTGGGGATGCTAGGCCTTGGCGGTTGGATTCGATGCACCTGCAGGAGCATGCCCCCTCTATCCCTGATTTTTGTGGGCCCTCTGAACTTGGGCCCTCTCCCCAACTTGTTAGGGGTCCTTTTCTTGCTAATCAGACAAGTCCGTTCCAGGGCATTCCGGAATGCTATCAGAGCATTCGAGGGAGCTTTCGGGCGGGACCAACATAGTCCCGGGACGATTTGTTGACTATTTTGGGCTATTTGGGAGTATGTTTTCATTATCTTTTTGTATTCCCCAATCCGCCTGTAGGAGGAAATGCCCGACCCAAGGCTAGGGCGAGGAGGACACGTCCGTGCCAGGGATGCCCTCAGAGCGTTCCAGGACGCTCCGAGAAGGCCGCGGCGCCAAAGACGATCCTCCAGAGCCGCCGGATCTAAGAGGTTCTCGATGTACGGTAGGTTCGTGTCGTGTCGACCGGCGGCGACCCCGCCGCGGGCGTTCAACGTTGAACGCCAGCGGCGGCCAAGAATCGCCCGATGTTGAACAATCGGACGTTGCGTAAACAGCCGATCGTTCAAGGTTGAACTATCCCCGTAGTGTCAGTACCCAACGCCCGGGTCCCGGGTCGACAAGACACGAGCCTGACGTGTCCTCACTCGATGTTGTTCTCGTCCTGGCCTCGTCTCACCCGGGAGGGGGAGAAACAGGAGGAGGAGGAGGAGGAGGGGGAGGAGGGGGAGGAGGAGGGGGAGGGAGGAGGAGGAGGGGGAGGAGGAGGAGGAGGAGGAGGAGGAGGAGGAGGAGGAGGAGGAGGAGGAGGAGGAGGAGGAGGAGCCCCGCTCATCGCCGCTTGGGGGGGTCTGCACGCCCCGCTTCGCCCCGCGTGCGGTGCCGCCATCGCGAGGGCCCGTCGCCGAGCCGTCAGCGGTGCGCCGACGCTTCCAGAATTCCGGCTCCATGTGCTCCCCCCCTCCACCCGATTTCTTTTGGACATCGGAAAGAACTCCAGATTTCGTAGTAAACGGGAGGGGGTCTGGACCCTCCAAGACAAGCCATTTCAGACCACCCCCCGTGGGAGAACCCTCCAGAACATCGTCCCCAGACCCCCCAGGCCCTCCAAGATAGCCTGGAAGAGACTCCCCCTTGAAATGAGACCCCCCTCCCTTTATTACGAAATCTGGAGTATGCATTACAAGTGGCGGGCTGCTCTTCAATGCCGTGACTTTTGGAGGGTCGGGGACGACGTCGGGGTGGTGTGGTGTGTACTGGTTTACCCGTGTTCCGTGGGACAGAACGAAGCATGTATACACCAGGGTCCCGTATGCACCAGGATCCGCTTCCCTGTGCAAGTGTCAGTGCAGGGCCAGAAAAAGCGTCGGTGGGTAGAGCTTCTTTATGAAAGGCAAGCTTGGGGCGTTAGTGATGCAATGAGAAACAGAACTCGCCGACGCAGGCGAAGAAACAAAGATCAGGCTGGCGTGGCGATCGCTGCGAGTGCTGCGCTCCCCGTGCTCTTCCTGCCCCCTGCTGCCTGAGACCTCTCCTGCGCTTCCGCTTCGGACGACGGGGGGGAGCTGGGGCCGGCTCACTTCTACCACCCGCCTGACTTGTTTCCAGACCCCTTCGCGATGCGAAAAAATCACCACGGGAGGTTTTCGCTATAAACCGGTCCCAGGGAAGGGGTCGAGACTTCTGGGGACCGACGTTGCGAAAAAACTACGACGGGCGCGACGGCACTGCCGTCGCGCCCGACTATCGGGGCGAGGGCTCCCCTCTCGAAAGAGAGAGAGAGAGAGAGAGAACAACACAATCAAAACATATAGATAAAACGGGAGGCATGCGCTCCTGCTTGCTGCTGGGTGCCCCATGCTGGACACGAACTTTTCCTGTGATCGAGCTTGCTGCCATCGCTGCCGATCCCTGGGACCCTTTGGGAGCAAGGCGAGCGTGCGTACCCGTGCTTGTGCGTAAGAGAGCGCGCCACTGTGGTTCACGAGGTGGCGGCGGTGGAGTCGAAGGAGAACCATGTCTGGAAGCGGGAGCGGGAGGTTGGGCTTATGATATCGCCCGTGAGCAATTGCAATGTATGTATGTAGGTAGGTTGGTAGGTTGGTAGGTAGGTAGGTAAGTCGGTAGGTAGGTAGGTGGGTGGGTGGGTGGGTAGGTAGGTAGGTAGGTCGGTAGGCAGGTAGGTGTATCTCTCTATATATGTATGTATGTATGTATGTATGTATGTATGTATGGATGTATGTATGTATGTATGGATGTATGTATGTATGTATGTATGTATGTATGTATGTATGTATGTATGTATGTATGTATGTATGTATGTATGTATGTATGTATGTATATATAGATATGTGTGCATATATATATATATATGTGTATATATAGATATATATATATATATATATATATATATATATCGGAGTAGGCCGGGGGAGGGCCGAGAACTGCTGCCTCAGGTTCGCCAGGGGGGCCAGGGGGGCCAGGAAGGGAGGCTCCAAGGGGGTGCAGAAGGGGCCCCGGACCCCCTCAGGGGCTCCCAAGCTGGCCCAAGAGGCGCCCAAAGCGCCCCAGGTTGTCTGGAAGGTGGCTGACGAGCGTACTGAGATGGCTTCCGGACGGGCCGCGACCGCCCGAAGACAGCCCAAGACTGCTCCCAGACGGCCACAAAGGCATTCAAGACGGTCCAAGAGGCCGCCGAGAAGGCCCTCCAAGGGCAAACACTCAAGCATTTCCTATTGGAAGACGTATATTTCTTGGATATTTGCTTTTCAGTCCTACCAGCGGCCGCGACGGCCCCAGAGGATCCCAAAATGAACTCCAGACGGCCCAAGAGGCTCCCAAGAGTGCCCCCAGACGGCCTGAGGAGAGCTTCAAGCAGCACAAGAGAGCCCCAACACGGCCCAAGAGAGTACCCAGGAACCCCGAGGGGGCCACCGGAGGATCCCTACGTGGTCGGAGAGGGCCCCCAGAGGGCCCCAAGACGGGCTCAGGTCCCCATGGCGGCCGAAGAGGGACCGGAACGGCCGAACTGGGCTCCCAGAGGGCTCAAAAAAGGCTTACCAGGTCCCCATGAAGACGGTCCAGGAGTGCACGTACATTTCTATGATATTCGCTTCTTATGTTCAATCGGCGGCCACGTCGGCCCCAAAGGCTCCCCAAATCGGCGCCACACGGTCCACGAGGCCCCCAAGAGGGCTTCAAGACAGCCTCAATTGAGCGTCGAGCAGCACAAGAGAGCTCCAAAACAGACCGAGAGAGTCCCCAGGGGGCCCGAGGGAGCCACCGGAGGATCCCTACATGGTCGGAGAGGGCTCCTTGAGGGCCCCAAGATGGCTCAGCTACCCATGACATGCCAAGAGGGGCCTGGGACAGCCGAAATGGGCTCCCAGACGGGCCACAAAAGGCCCACCAACATGGCCCCCCAAGACAGTCCAAGGCCGCTGAGAATGCCCTCCAAGGGCAAACATCGAGCGTTTCCTATGGAAAAACATATATTTTTGGGAGCTTCGCTTTGCAGTTCTACCAGCGGCCGCGACGGCCCAAGAGGTTACCAAAATGTGCCCCCGACGGCCCCAGATGCCCCAAAGAGGGTTCCAAGATGGGCTGAAGAGAGCTTCAAGCGGCACAGACTACAAGACGGCCCAAGAGAACCCCCAGGAAGCCCGAGGGGGCCACCAGAGGATTCCTACATGGTCGGACAGGGCCCCAGGAGGGCCCGAAGACGGGCTGAGTTCCCCACGACGAGCCAAGAGGGACCCGGAACGGCCGAGATGGGCCCTCAGACGGGCCAACACAGGCTCCAAAGGACTCCAAAGGACGGCCCGAGAGGCTCCAGAGACTGCTATAATGCTTCCCCAAAAGGCTCCGGCACGCGGTCCAGCAGGCACCCGTGTGCTGGGTGCGTTGAGAGAAGAGAGGAGGAGTACAAGGAGGAGGAGGAGCAGGAGGAGGAGCAGGAGGAGGAGCAGGAGAATGAGGTGGGAGAGAAAGAGGGGAAGGTGGCGGAGGAGGAGGAGGAGGAGCAGGAGGAGGAGGACGAGGAGGATGAGGAGGAGTCGTAGGATGATGGGG